AAGCACTCATTTCACCTTTAGAAACTCAATATTTCTGTTTTTTTTCAATTGCTGAAAAATTCCTAATTCCAACTAATACTCATGAAGAACTCCACAGAGTTTCTTTTGATCCTTAAGAAAGCAAAGCCATCCTGGTACTGTCCTAAATGTGCAATTTGCCAGGAATGCTTCCATTTTGGGAAATATGTTGAAAGTGGAGCTCATTATTGAGCAAATGCTATCGATGAGCTTCTACAAATGTAGATGGCACAGGTCAGTCAAAAGACACAGTAAACATGAGATGTGTGAGGCTGTTGCTGGTATAGTACGGCCTACCATTTTATAGAACATTTAAAAAATACACAGAAGGATTACAAAGAAGTATAGTATAGTAAATACATAAACCACTAACGTTTATGATCAAGTATGAACCGTACATAGGCGTGCATGCTATAATTTTATACAACCTGACAGTGCAATAGATTGGTGTACACCAGTGTTACCACAACAGTGCTGTGTGCTACAGCATGACAGTAGCTAAGGCCTCACTAGGCAATAGGAATTTTTAAGCTCCATTATAATACCTTGTGGATACCAGTGTGTATGCAAATCCTTCATTGTCCAAAATGACAGTTGTGGCTCATGATGATAGACAGACCTCTAATTGTCCTCTAATCTTCCAAATTGCTATCCTCTCCACCTCCAAAATGGCAGTAATAGAAACTACTCTGACATCTTCAGGGGAACATATCTAATTAGGGTAAGCTTTTTCACCCCACTTAGACCACAACCCTCCCACTCATCAGGGGCCATGGCATAGTCATGACCATAGTCATGGTCACTCACCAGGAAAGCTTTCCAGGGGTAGGTGAGCATCAGTGTGGTGGCCAGTGCAAACCATGACTGCATCGAAGACATCCACCTGCTTTTTCCCTTTACACTCTGTGACTACCTCCCATTGGCCTGAAGTAGAGAAATCTGGCCTTTTTTTCACACTGCACACAGTGGTCTGAAAAGAGACAGTCACAAGGAACTGTAATCACAGCCTATTAGTGCAAGTCCTCCCTGACATGACTCCCTGTAGAGTGTTACACAAGGGCTGTTATCACAGGCACCATCACATCACAGGGCCTCTGTAGGGACATTTGATTCTCATACCCGACGAGTGTCGATGAAGTAGACTATGTAGAGTTGGCAAACTAGTGCACTGTCCTTTGCTTCTATGAAAGGTGTAAGGGGCCAGTCTCTTGGTCTATGTTGTTAGGCTTTGCAGCAACCAGGTAAAACTGGGGCTTCTCCTGTGCTTTGGTGGCATGTCATGCACTAATGGCCTATTCCTCCTCCCCTTGACACCCCCAAACTCCTGATATTTGCTTACCCCGAGTCCCATTCCCAGTGGCTGACCTTAAATATGCAACTATAGTATGGGTCGCCCTTTCCACTGAGAATAGAAAAACACCTCAGTGGTTCTCATTTTATGTAACAAAGTCTTTCTTTGCCTTCTATAAATGCCCATTTTACACACAGGTCACCTTCTTCAATTGGTAGACCCCTGTTCATCCTTCAAGACTCAGCCTGGACATTATATGCTCTAAAATAACACTTCCTTGAAGCCTGGTACCTCATGCCCTGAAGGTTAAACATCCTCCTCTAAACGGTAATGTGTAGCTCTCCACAGCATTTGTAACTCTTCATTTTATTAATTATGTATATAATAATTTTTTCTCTAACTTTTTTTTTGTCTTTTCAATTTCACTGCTTAGCATAGTGACAGACTTATTCAAGAAGTGTCTTTCTTAGACAAAGGAAGTACCCCTGGGTTATAAATGACCAACTTTGGAAGTTATCATTGAATGTTACCTTTTTATTTTTGTTGTTTAACAAAATGGGGCATAAGTTAGCAGAAGACTTGGGAGAAAGCTTGGGCTTTTTGCCAGATATCATAAATATATGTTGTTTTATGTCCACAACTGCAAATCATAGAAACATCACAGAAAACTTTACATAAGGAAGGAGACAGAAATGATCTGAGGTAATCATGTTGTTTTATAAATGAGGAAACTTAGACAAATTGAAGTTGAGAAACCGTCTTGTCTAGGATCCACATGTTAATTTGTGGTAGAGCAAGTACCATAATTCCCAATATCCACTACACTGGGTTGTTGTGAACACATAAAACAGTATATTGGACAGTACAAGGAAGCTAAGTAATAGTGGAAAAGAAGGTTTTGAAGTTCTGATCCCTGTCAGTTCTCCTCATCTGTTTTATTAAAATCAAAGAGCTTGAAGGCAGTGAAAACACCCTGGCAGCTGGCTTCCCGTAGCTGCAGCCTAAATGTATCTGAGAGACCTCTGCCTCAGTATTCTTCATGGACCAAAAGGACAAATCATAGCATCATTGTCTGAAAAGGATAACTACTCATGCATTTCAAGCCAGTCTTGACAGGTAAGTGCAGGTAGTCGAAGCCTCACTATTCATTTACTTCATGAATATTCTCAGACACAAAGATGCCCCCAAACCCCCTTACCTTGAATTGGATATACTTTACAAGGTCAAATTCTTTGGCATACATCCTGAAATACTCCAGGACCTGGGAGTTGTGCATGAAGTTGGGAAAATGATCTGGGATGGGGTAGTCACTGAAGCACATCATCTCCTTAGAGGTGTTGATGATCACTGATCTGTAAATGCTGGCCCTTCCTTCCTCGGGATCTTCCTGCAGTAATTTCAAGTGTTTATTGCAACTTGAGATTTAACTTCATGATTTACAATAAACATTTGAAAAGTCTTCTG